TTTTCTTTCTACTGAAATTCTTATTTTTTTTCTGTCATCTAGCATCTGTCTATCCAATTTCTGTGGCCTCCTGTTTTTAAACAATATGATGCTTCAAATTTAACTGTTCAGTTCTGATACACCTTACTTACATTCATCATTTCTGCTGTCCATACTTTGAATAAAATTGTTTATACACTGAATTTTAAGATCCCTAGGTAATTTTTATTTCCAGCCATCTTATCTTGCTTTAGTTCCAAGTTTCTTGTTTTTCTTTTTCATCTCTGATCATTTTATCATTTACCTTTTACACTATTAATTTATATCCTTTGAGTTTTCCTGAATATCTTATGGATCTGCTTGTTACTTTTATTCATTCAAACATTTTAACCATTTGGTTTTTTTAATTTCCTTTGTATCAGGCCTAAGACATTAAAAGACATTTTTTGGAAGTTAATTTCTGAAGGCATTTTGTGGCTTTGTTTTGTTATGTTTCTGTTGTTACTTGTGTTGAGTTTACAGATGAAGCTTTCCCTTCTAGGGGTGTTTGGATTTATTGTACCTCTGGCTTCTTCCTGCACTTCTGCATTCCTCATAGTCTTATAGAGCTTACCCTGCAACTTAAAGAACCTGGCTCCCTTCCCCATGTTTTGTTCTCTGATCTGCTAGTGAAAGGGTGTGGGGAAAACCCAGAGCTCTTTGTTTAGTTTCATTTTCATACCTACAGTGGTGAGCTGAGAATTTTTGCCTCTGTCTTGTGACCTGACACTTCAGTTGAGTTGGAAGGGGCAGCAGTGCAATATGTTTAGTCCAGTACTCTTTCACTGATTCCTAAAAGGGCTTTCTTGATTGCCACTCTTCTCCATAACACTAATTCCAGCCTCTGAGTCCACACTCTGTAAAGATTACAGATTAGTGCCCCTCACCACACCTTGTGACCAATAAAGCCTCTCCAGCTCTTTGCCTGCATCATTCACCTACTGGCTGGTGCTCCTACAACCCCCTAACGTCATGCTGTCTTACAGTCTTATTCTCTGTGTCACTGTAGCCTGGCCTTTACTTTCCCAGTGGCCTCTTGTTGTTATGTCAGTTACTGTTCTTAGGTGATTCTCTGATTTCCAGGTTCTCTGGTACCCTAGTCTGTGAATATCTCATTTGCTGGTGAGATATCTCATGAATATTTCATTTGCCTCTTATTGAACATGATAAAAATCCTAGACTACTGTCTTGTGGCAAATACACCAACATTATCTTACTATGTGCAGTTTAATTAATAGCACACAAGTTTCAAACATCACATAAGGATCCTCAGTGGAGAATGTCTTTAAATTAATCAAATTGTGTCTAAAAGCCAGTTTTAGCACACTAAGAAACCTTTAGCTTGCTACCCTTCATATCTTCAAGGTACCTATGATGTCTTGTGCTTAGCACTTGGTACACTTTCCACTTGTGCTTTAATTTATATCAAAATTGAAGATTATATATTTTTTCATTTTTTTCATATTCCTTTTCATTTCTCCCTTCATATTCTTTTCATAAATTAATAGTCACTTTTTTGTCTTTGGGACAAAATTTCTGATGTTTACAACTGAAAAATTTATTTTGACTCAGATGGTTCAGAAGTTTCAGTTTATGGTTGGCTTCCATTGAGATAGAAATCACATGTCAGGTAAAAGCTGCTAACCTCATGAGAGTGACAGGGACAAAGCCAGAAAAAAGATACATCCTTCCCAGTACATACCATTGATTGATTCCCTCCATAAGGCCCTGCCTCTAAACTAATCAATGGATAATTCATCCTTTCAAATTAATCCATCCTTTCAAAAGCCTATGTCTGAGACATTTGGGAAACATTATAGAGCCTTAAATAGGTATCCAACCATTTGGCTTGCCTGGACTTCACTGAGTAAAGAGGAATTGTCTTGAACAACTTATAAAATATGTAAGAGTTAAGATATTTAAGTTACAGAACTTTCTGAGTGTGATTGTACATCTGTAATCCCAGTACTTGGGAAGCTGAGACAGAAAGAGTCCGCAAGTTCAAGGCCAGCCTGAGCTACACAATGAGTTCAAGGCTAGCCTGCACTACATAGCAAGACCCTTTCTCAAAAAAAAAAAGCAAACAAAAACTTCCTTTTTGCATATTTTTCATTTTGTTTATCTAAGAAAAATTATTTTATAAAAATACACTTGTACTTTCTAAACTGTTGGTTCTAGAGAACTTTAGAATTTACTAAGTTACTTTGAAATATCCAAGTAAGCCATTTAATAATTAAATGAAAGAATGTACATGTTCATTCAATAGTGATACATATCTGTCTTCAAAGCCCCACATGCATAGGAAAATAGAACCGCTGAGTTTTCAGTAATTGCTGCATATTGCCTGTTAAGTTACATGAGTGCATATGATATGATTCATACAGGTTTGAGTTCTACTGACTGGTGATGTCAAGGGTAGAATTAGTACTGTTTTGTACCCTTCCTTATATGGAGGCCACTGTTACTTAGTCAAGCACTAAATATGTATGTATTAGTCGGTAATATGTATTCTTCAAGATGAATATAATACATCCCATTTAAATGGAGAGGTAGAAAATTTAGTTCTTCTCTTAGAAAATAAAAATCATAATAATATTAAAATTTTCAATTATCACCTATTTAGAACTGTGTGGTGCATGGATTAGACATGCCCATAACAAAGTGTTACTTGCATTTACCTTGGATAAGACATCCTCTTTGTATACCATCATGTATCATTTGCTAAACTATTTCTTTTTGAGTCTCCAAACTCTTTCCTTGTTAACTGTTTTATCATAACTTTGAGATTTGTTTTCTTTTATTGAGTTTATTGGAACATTTTAGGCATATAGTACAATTACTTTCGTTATTGGGATTTTGTACCTTTATATGACAGGTCTTGGTTGTCATTTTTTCCCGTTGTCCCTACCCTCCCTTCACCCCCTCCTTACTTCTCCATATGCAAACACTTTATTTTCATTTTTTCATTTTCTCATATTTTTTTCCTTTATTACCTTTCCCCTACTCTTCCCATTTTCCCTACAACTTTAGCCCTTTTCTTCCCATTTCACAATATCATTAGGATCTTATGTGCTATTATAGTTTATTCACAGCAGAGAAACTATTTGGTACTTACACATGTGTGGCTTACTTATTTCACTTAGGAGTATATCCTCAATATGTATCTATTGTCCTATGAATGAGTCTAATTTCTCATTCTTTGTGGCTGAGTAGTAGTATTCCATTTTATAGAAAAGCCACATCTTCTATATCCAATCTCCAACTGATGGGAGATGGGCTGTTTCCAAGATTTAGCTATTACAAACTGTGCCACTATAAACATGGGTGTGCATATATCACTCTGGTGTGATTCTTTTAGTTCTTTTGGAAAGAGACCCAGAAGAGGGATGGCTGGGTCAAATGAAACCTCTAGTCCCACTTTGAGATTTTTAAAGCATCTTCATTTTTTATGATGTATGAAAAAATTAATTTTACCAAAATCAGATCATCCTCAGTTTAATACTAAAGTTTATGCTTGCATTCAGCTTTGGTGTAAACGTACATAATTTTTTCTTGTTATTTAAGTGACTTTTTAAAATCAGCTAGTGACATTTGTTTTGCAAACAGATTATTAAAATGTGGTTTGCAAATGCCTAAAACCAACTGGTTTTGGTAATAGTCTAGAAGATTAAGGTTCTTTACTTAAAATAAAGTAATCCCATGTTTATATGAAGAAAACATTTTAGGTTACTTCCTCTAAAACAGTCCTTGTTTTCTAATTATATTAGTCCTTGATTCTAATGAGATTGAATATCACTGAAAGTTTTGTTTTTGATGCCTATACCTCACAGAGCTCCTGGCCCAGAACTTGACTTTAAAATCATGATCCTCCTACTTGTGTGTGCCACTGCTCCTCACTGTAATTTTTGTTTTTGCTTTGTTTTGATTTTTTGACATAGGGTCTCACTGTGTATGTGAGACTTAAACTCACTATTGTAGCCTAGGTTGGCCTTGAACTCATGGCAGTTCTCCTGCTTCAACTCCTTGAGTGTGGGATTGCAACTGCATGCTACTATGCCTGGCCCTGTAATTTTGCTTTTTATTGTTGGCTTTTCAAATATTAAATTTATCTTAATGTATGTAAGACTTTTTTTTTAAGAATACATGGTCTTGGATTTTTTTAAAAAAACGATTATGAGTGTCTCTGTTCAAAATCTGTGTTTTGTTTTTTTAAAACCTGTTAAAAACAAGATTGTAGGCCAGGAAATAATGGCACATGCCTTAAACCCCTGCTTTTTAGGAAACTGAGTAAGGAAGGAGAACCTCAAGTTCCAGGGCCAGCATAGGCAACTCAGTTAGACGCTGTTTCAAAATAATAAGGGCTGTGGTTGTAGCTCCTTGATGAAGTACCTGAAGCTCCATCCCCAATGGCTCAAAGAAAAGAAAATTAAAATTTCACTCTCATTACAATCTTTAGTTGCTTTATATTCATTGTGCTTAAGTCATGAGCCCATTGATTTTCTTCCACTATGTGTTCTAATAATCTGTTTTGATGTTTTTAAAAGCTTTTAATACATTAGGGTTAGTGTTTAGGGAATGTAGCTCAGTAGGGGAGAGAGCTTACTTACAATGCAAGAGGTCCTAGCACTGCCTAAAAAAATTTAAGAAATAAAACAACAACTAATATTTGCTGATTTTACTGCAAATACTCTGATCCAAGACATTCAAGAATATCTTTAACAAATAATGCTTTGACCTATGGATAAGTGAAGATGCAATATATCCTTTTATTACTTTTGTTAAATTTGTAGGATATGAGGAATTTGAATTATGTGACATATTTTTAATTTCATTTTTTTAAATGAGTTTGTAATATTTAATACTTTTCTAGGTAAAATAATGTTATGTGAATCAAGTTAATGATTATAAGAATCTTTCAAAAATATATCATTTTTATTAATTTACCAGCTATTACATTTAAGGTGTGTTTCCTGCTTTTGCAGTGGATAATGTTGGGAAAATAGAACGTGATAGATCCACTGGTGTGGCTCTGGATACAGAGTCAGAATTTGATTCTTGTAAAGTGGATGGCACTTGCCCTGAAGTTATCAAGGTGTACATTTTTAAAGCTGAATGTGGAGAGGATGACTTAGGTAAGAGGAAACTGTTAAAATTTTATGTTTCCCTCTTCAAACTCTTTAACCTAAATACTGTTAATGTTTAAAACTGGATGTTCCCTAGTTGGGAAAATTAATTATTGAGATGTTTTTCATAAACAATATAAACAGTATAAAAATACTGTTAAATATCATCTTGTTGAAATAAGATGATGTGATATTTCAAACAAATCCTTGGAGTTGTGTCTTCATTCATAGGTGGAACTGTAGACATTGTGGAGAGTGAGCCTGAGAATGGTCATGGAATTGAAGTACTTGACCAGAACAGCAGTATTCGTATACCTAGGGAAAAGATGGTTTATATGACAATGAGTGACTCTCATCAGGAAGATGAAGATTTAAGTAAGTAGGTGGTCTTTCTGTGGGATTTTATGTTTCTGTAATTCCCTTTTTTAATGCATCCATTAGTTGAAAAAATTAAAATCATTATTGTAGAGATTATACTATTCTTTTCCAGTGAAGGACATCATTGACTCTTAATATATGCTTATATTGTTGCTTTCAAAATTGGTTACGTTGAAGTATTTACTGCTTCTGTTTTTTCTGTAATCTCTGTAAATCTAATCATGAAAGATTTTATTAACTTATATTTAGAAGTTGCTGACATCACTGATGAGGTTTATATGGAAGTGATTGTAGGTGAGGAGGATGCTACTGTTGCAGCAGCAGCTGCTGCTGTGCATGAACAGCAAATGGATGAGAGTGAAATGAAAGCTTTCATGCCAATTGCATGGGCAGCAGCTCATGGTAAGTCACATAGAAACTTAATTGATTTGTTGAAAAATGGTTTGTGTGGTCATGGGATTTCATAAACATGAAATAATCAGTATGATAATCTAAAAAAAGTAAAAAAGTTATATAGTTTCTCTCTAAATATAGGAATTTGTTTCACACCCATTATATAAGAAGTACTCAGAATTGAAAGCTGTTTTTATTTTTTTTTGTTTTGTTTTTTAAATCTTATTTATATTTGTCTCATGCCTTTACAGTTTGGGGAAATAAAAAAGGAGTTCATAGGGCAAAATGATACTGGATTTGGAAGATGAGAATTTCCTGTAGTCTTGCTATAAACAAACTTATAAAACATATTACCTAAATTGTGGAATTTCTGCCACTTGTGGGTGTCATAACTTCTCATTGTCACAGTTAATAATTCTTAATTTACAAATACTGTTTAATACTTTTAATGCACATTGTTAGGTAATAATTCTGATGGAATTGAAAACCGGAATAGCCCTGCAAGTGCCCTCTTGCACAGAGATGAATCTGCTGGCCTTAGCAGGCTGGCTAAGCAAAAACCAAAGAAAACGAGGCGACCTGATTCCAGACAGTACCAAACAGGTAAGGGCACATGAGTTCCATGGCACAGAGTGTTCTTTGAAGTCTCAGAGACTAGACACACTCGAAGGCTCAGAGACTAGACACACTCGTCCATATTCACAGTGGTAGCATTTTAACTGCTAGGCTACATGTAGCTTTTGTGTATTGAATTTGAAAATAGTAATTTTTTCTTTTTTGGTACTGGGTATTGAACTCAAGACCTTGTGCTTGCAAGACAGGCTCAGTATCCTGAAAATCTGGGCCTGAAAAATAATAATTTTTATAATTCAGTGATATTCATGATTTCCCTGGATAAAAAAGAAAGATTGCAGACTGATACATTACAAAAAAGAATTAAAATCTCAGGTGATTTTCATGAGAATAAAATAAATCCTCAAATGTTTAAGTTGACTTCAGTTTAGTTTTATTAATTTAATTGAACTTCAGGCCTTCACACTGAGCTATATTCTCCAGCCTTGTTTGTTTGTTTGCTTTATTGTTTTAGACAGGTTCTCCCTAAAGTCACTGAATTGTCCAGGACAGCTTCAAGCTGGTGAACTTCCTTCCTTGACCTCTAAGAATGCTGGATTTATATTCATGTGCCATCAGAACCAGCTATTAATTTACTTTTTTTCTTTTTCTTTTTTTTGGGGGGTGGGTACCAGGGACTAAACTCGGGTGCTTGTACTTGCAAGCCACGCAGCAGAACCACTGAGTCAAATCCCCGTCCTTTCCTGTCTTCCTTCCTTCCTTTCTCTTTTTCTCTTTTCTTTCACTTACTTTCCTTTTTTCTTTCATTTTCTTTCCTTTCATTCTTTTTTCTTTCCTTTCCTTCCTTCCCTCTTTCCCTCCCTCCCTTCCTTCTTGTACCATGTATCAAATTGAGGACCTCACACTTGCAAAGGCAGGCACAGTGCCACTGAGCTAAATCCCTGACCCTGTTTTTTTTTTTTTCATTTATTGATTTTATTGGTACATTTTTGGCATACAGTACAGTTACTTTCATTATTGAGATCTTGTACCTCTACATGACAGGTCTTGGTTCTCATTTTTTTTCCCCTTGTCTTTCTCTCCCTTCACCCCCTCCTCACCTCCCCATTTAAGAACACTTTATTTCCATTTTTTCATTTGTCATATTTTTTCTTTTCTCTTATTACCTTTCCCCTACCGTTCCCATTTTCCCTACACCTTTAGCCCTTTTCTTCCTATTTTAGCCCTTTTATTCCTATTTCAATCATCTCATTAGGATCTTATGTACTATTATAGGTTTTCACACCAAAGAAACTATTCAGTATTTATACATTGTTTTATTAAACAATAAAGAAATACATTCTATGACCAAGTAAAATACTTTCTTGTTCCTCTATAAATTATATGTTTTACACTAACACAACTAGACAATTAATGGCTTTCCTATTAATTAACTTTAATGAATATATTTCAGATAATCTAGTGGCTTTCCTATTTATTAACTTTAATTAATATACTTCATATAGTCTAGTTGTCTTGTTTTCTATATTGATTTTCATGATAAAATTTTTATAGTTATGAGTTAGTATAGAGTTATGAGTTAATCTAAATATGGTTTTAGCTGGGCGTGGTGGTGTATGCCTGTAATCCCAGCACTCCGGAGGCTGAGGCAGGAGGATTGCTGTGAGTTCCAGGTCAGTCTCCACTACATAGTGAGACCCTGCCTCAACCCCCCCAAAAAAATAAGTAAATAAAAATTTAAAAAATTAAGTATGGTTTTAATAATAAATTCGAAATGTTGACCATTTATAATTGATTTTCTAGACTCCTAAGTACATGTAGAATCATCATTACTTTATTTTTTATTGTAATTGTAGACAGATTAGAGTAGTCATATTGAACCAGATTCATTTTCTTACTAGATTACAAATCTTACATCAAAAAGTGGAAATATGAATATTAAAAATATAAGTGTGATTGCCCAATAATGTTTTTTTAAAAATTAAATCTTTGAAACAGCACTCATGCTCTTTTCTTGTCTGTTTTCAGCAATAATTATTGGTCCTGATGGGCATCCTTTGACTGTATATCCTTGTATGATCTGTGGGAAAAAGTTTAAATCAAGAGGTTTTTTGAAAAGACACATGAAAAACCATCCTGAACACCTTATGAAGAAGAAATACTGTTGTACTGACTGTGATTACACTTCCAACAAAAAGATAAGCTTACATAATCATCTAGAGAGCCATAAGCTGACAAGCAGGGTAGAGAAGGCCATTGAATGTGATGAGTGTGGGAAGCATTTCTCTCATTCTGGAGCTTTGTTCACTCACAAAATGGTGCACAAGGAAAAAGGAGCCAACAAAATGCACAAATGCAAATTTTGTGACTATGAGACAGCAGAACAAGGGTTATTGAATCGTCACCTTTTTGCAGTCCACAGCAAGAACTTTCCTCATATTTGTGTAGAATGTGGTAAAGGTTTTCGTCATCCATCAGAGCTTAAAAAGCATATGCGAATTCATACTGGCGAGAAGCCACACCAATGTCAATATTGTGAATATAGATCTGCAGACTCTTCTAACTTGAAAACACATGTAAAAACTAAGCATAGTAGAGAGGTATCATTCAAATGTGACATTTGTCTTCTGACTTTCTCAGATGCCAAAGAGGTACAGCAACATACTCTTACCCACCAAGAAAGCAAAACACACCAGTGTTTGCATTGTGACCACAAGAGTTCGAACTCAAGTGATTTGAAGCGACATATAATTTCAGTTCACACAAAAGACTATCCACATAAGTGTGACATGTGTTACAAAGGCTTTCACAGGCCTTCTGAACTCAAGAAACATATGGCTTCCCATAAGGGTAAAAAAATGCACCAGTGTAGACACTGTGACTTTAAGATTGCAGATCCATTTGTACTAAGTCGCCATATTCTCTCAATTCACACAAAAGATCTTTCATTTAGGTGCAAGAGATGCAGAAAGGGATTTAGACAACAGAACGAGTTTAAAAAGCATATGAAGACACACAGTGGCCGGAAAGTGTATCACTGTGAGTACTGTGAATATAGCACCACAGATGCCTCAGGCTTTAAACGACATGTTATTTCCATTCATACAAAAGACTATCCTCACCGGTGTGACTACTGCAAGAAAGGATTCCGAAGACCTTCAGAAAAGAACCAGCACATAATGCGGCATCATAAAGAAGCTGGCCTGCACTAACAATAGTTATACAGACGTTTGTTAAAATATCACCTTGAATTGAGAAATTCAGTTTAAAGGCTTTTATTCTTGTCATATACAATACTGCCTTATTGATTAATCTGATGTACACAAACGATTCTTTTAGTTGTCTACAATTTTTTCAACAGGGTGTTCTGAATTCTGTTGTTTTTTAATAAGTGAGGAAAAGCAACAATCAAAATGCTTTTAGTAAAGTAATTATTAATTCTCTACTAAAATTTTAGTCTTAGAAGCTTTACTATTTATTCACCTGTAAAGTACACTTCTAAGAAAATAATTTAAGAGTGGTAACTCTAAAAATAGTCATTTTTTTACCCCCTTTGGACACAATTTTCACATTTAATAGACATTTGATACAAACAGGAGATTTATTTTTAGTGTCATGTCTGAATTATTATTTCCTTGTTTTGGTTAGTTTTTTCAGTTTGCCTGGCAAACTGTTGAGTGTTTAGCACTGCTGATTATAGAATGTTGGCAGGGTTTGTTTCAGTTTGTTTAGTAGTCAAAACATACTTATTAAAAATCTGACATTATAATGTTTATATATTTTTTCTACAATAGGAAACTTGGAAAAATCTTGACTGAAGATTTTTGTTTACTACTGTTTTTTTCTGATCTATTTTGAAAGAGTTTTGTAAATGAGATTGAAGACTGAAATTGCAGTCTTATTTATGAGAGTCTTTTGTCATATGGTGTGTAAAATAAAAATTTAGATTTTTTTTTTTTTTTAGTTACTTAATCCCCTCCTTTTTATTTTGACTCAGGGTCTTGAACCCTTTTAAGTATCTCAGATTGGCCTTGAACTTGGCAGTCTTCTTGCCTCAGCCTCCCAAATGCTGGGCTTTAAGTGCTCAACACCATGCCCATCTCCAATATTTTGTTTGTTTGTTTGTTTTGTTTTGTTTTTATTTTTTTGGTACCCAGGATCATGCTCAGGACCTTGTGCTTGCATAGTGCCATTGAGCTAAATCCTTGGCCCCAATTTTAAATTTGTGTTGAAAAATACTAAGTTTAATACAACTTCAAAGATCCAGGAAATGTATGAACTTGGTGATTCAGAGAAATTAAAATTTGGGTGAAAAATTAAAAATAAAATGAGGCCAACAGAAAACTGTTCCTTTCTCTTCAGTAATTAAAAAATGAAATTTAACATCTTTCTAGATAGAATATTATCATAAAATTTCAGCTTCGTACTTTAAGTTGTTTGGAAAGTTAATCCAAACATGGCTGTTCTGCTTCGCCCAGAGATTGCTGTGACAGAACTTGGTCTTTTGAAAGAGAATTAGGACTAAGAGAAAGTAACAGCTCTGTACAGAAAAAAAAAAACACTAGTCACAACTTGAGTTGGCAAGTTCTGCCTCTTTTTTCATTTCTTAACAATTAAATTTTAAAAGACAACATACATGTTGTTTTTGATTAGAAAATAAAAACATTACAGTGAAACAATGAAATTCTCTTGCCTTGGAAAATCACTTCATCTTTTATTTTTCTTTTTATTTGAGAGTTGACATTTTTAAGCAGTTATGTAACACATACACACAGTTATAATGTATTTGGTTAATTAGAATTTGATAATTAGAAATTTTGGAGACCAAAAAATAGTTTTTAGTTTTAAATTAGCTATTGACATATATGTACTGGCGCATATGGGAAATTAGAATAATATTTCCTTCAAGCTACTTTTCTGATTTCATTATGGTATTTTCTTTCACTTTTCCTATCAGTTGGCTTTATTTTTCACTGTGCCACAAATAGCATATTCAAAAGTTACAGAGTGAGACATCTAAATACTCCTTGGTGTTTGACAGCCTCCAGAATGCTAGAGAATAGTCTGATTTTGACATGCTTCAGACACCTTGGAATTTAAACATAATACCAACAAAAGCCATAGAATGGAAGGTGAACCCTCTCATACTTTCTTACTCTCTGTACTCCCAGTTTTTAGTTGTTTTTTTTTTAATACAGACCTTCAAAACTCGTTTTTGTGTGTTTGAGAGTCCTTTAAAACTCTTTTGAATTTGACTTCATTTTAAGTAAAATAAACTCAGCAAAAAATTTAAAGTTAGAAATTTAAAGACATCTTGCAAAATTAACATAGATAGCTTATGTTTTTTAAATAAACTGAAAGGTAAAGAACACAACATTTTACATGTTATTTCCCACTTAGACTGAAATCATATATGAGTTTATTTTTTAAGCACAATATTAAAACCTTTAAAAGGTAATGTTTGTTCAAGTGAGTATCAGCAAATACATTTGTATAAGGTATGAAATTGTGCTTATTACATATGTTATTATAGCCTGTTTTTAATGCTTAAATTTGATTAGCAAAGCTAAAAAAGTTGATTTTAAGGATTTTTAAAAAGTACAAATTCTTATAAGAACCTAAGTTATTTTAGTGAATTGTCTATTAAGTATTGTATGCCCCTTTCTCTGTACACATTGTAAAATGACATACAGTACATAAGAAATTCATACAAGGACATGTGACAGTATTGTAAATGTGTACTTGAGAATAACATCCAAAATAAAAGTAAAATATTTTCTTGTTAATAAATGCTTAATGTATTCAATATTAGTAGTTAACAATTGCTGATGGAAAAATGCAATTTTAGTAAGTAGATTTCTTAATTTCTTCTGTGCATTAGTAAAATGCTAAATGTTAATTGTCAGTTTTATTAGTTTTAACTTCAGAATAGTTAAAAACCAATTGGTGAACTTTTGACCAGCATACTTTTGAAAGTGTTTCTCACGAAGAATTATGGTATTAATATCTCCAATGCCAGAGAAAAATTTCCCTCTGTGAAGTGGTTTTTAAGAATATTGAAGTTTATTACAAACCTAGTGTGGTACTACACATCTGTAATAATCCTAGCACTCATGAGACTAAGAAAGATTCTGAATGCAAGGCCAACCTGAGTTACACAGTAAGGCTGTATGAAATAAAAAATTGTATAGGTATGCAAAATAGCTATTGCACATTGACACAGTGATGGCTGTTAATATCTCCCACAAAAGACCTTGCTTTTCAATTACTTGTGTCTTACTCCATTTGCTCAAAAATGATATTTGTATTTTTTTCATAATAAAATCAGAATCTAAGTTAAAGTTAACCAGATATTAAAGAGCAGAAGTGAACAGGAGATTGAGATGCTTTGATTTTCTTGTTACCGCTTTTATTAAGGTATATGTAATTCCTAATATAAAAGCAAGGGTCCAAAATATGCACAGTGGCATTTATTATATTCAAAATATTTTGCTGCCCTCACCTACATGATAGTATTAAAATGTTACCTTTGTTTTTAGTTTTGAAAGTAAAATCTTTCAGATGTTCATCCCTGTCGGGACATGTACTTGCATAATAGTTGAAATAGTAAATAATTAAAACTTGAATTGTTAAGAAAATGTGAATGTTATTAGCTAGATTGTGAGTACATAATAAAGCAACATTAAAAACTTAATTACAACATCTAATGCACCCAATCAAGCCAATGATACATACTTAGAGATTCTTCTTCAATTTCCACAAATTATAGAATTTGTTTAAAGAAAAATATTGTGCAATTTGGAGGTAGTTGGTAAACCAAGGATTGCCAACCTCAATAGGAAAATGTTGAGAAATATAAAAATTTGGTTCTACTCTAGACCTAACAAGTATAAGAAATGTTAAAAGGCACCAGAATTTTGTTGGTTGGTTATACTGAAGTAAGAAAAAGGAAATGAGTTTTGCCATTTTAACCATTTAAAAGTGACATATTTAGTAGTTTTGGGTGTACAGTGGACCTTTGACTTCAAAGGCTCTCTTCGGTATAATTTTAGGCCACACTTTCAAGCTGATCGTGTCCTTAGACAAGGGCCCAAGATTTCTGTATTAACCTCACACAGAAAAGGATATTTTAATGTTTGTGCAAGAACTCTTTAAGGTTTAAATCTGTATTTGAGACTATCTGGAAACACTAGTGGCCATCGTATGAGTTATACCTCAGTACTTTGGTCATAAGTTAAAACTAAAATTCTGGCCATTGCTCAAGGTCTTTGTACATCAGGCCACAGCATTCTTTGCTGATTTCTTACCTTACAATGTAGTTATACCCAGGCAGCAACTTTTAGTTTTCCACTTCCTTGAGGTCCTGGTCACCTTCATTTTTGTTCAGGTTCTATAAGTTTGGCCACTGTAGATACTTCAAATATGGGCAGTACTACTATCTTACAGTAACTGGCTATGTTGCTTAAGTGCCTTCTTCCTCACTGGTAAAAATTGTTTACTCTTTCACTTTTGAGTATGGTATTAGGTATGGGCTTCAGAAACCACAACCTGTAGCAGGGTCTGGTGGTGCATACTTACAGACTCAGCTAGTTAGGAGGAGGATGAAAAGTTTGAGGCTATCCTGAGTGATTTAGCAAGATTCTGTCTCAAAATGTTAGGACTGGGAAGTGTAGCTTCAGTGGTAGAATGCTTGCCTAGCATGTTCTATGCCCTGGGCTTAGCTCTGATGTTTTGTACAGAAATATCTACAATTTTTTTATTGGTTATTTTATAATAAAATGAGTTTTTAGAAAAACATGATATTATTAGCTAGATTGTGAGTATAGATTAAAGCAACTATTAAAAACTTAATTACAACACCTAATTCACCCAGTCAAGCCGATGATACATACTTAGGTATTTCAGCTAATGATTCTTCTTTAATTTCTACAGGAGAATTCACTAAACATTTTGTTGAAAGTTCTATATATTTTGTAAATCTTATGAAACTAAAATTAAATTATTGTCTCAATGGTTTTTCGACATAAAGTGTTAGTCTCATGGTAGCTATCCCTGCTTTTGGTCGCAATTTGTATGACCTGTCTTTTTCTAGCCTTTTACTGTTTTTGTTTTTGTTTTTTTTTTTGGTACCAGGATTCTAACTCTGGTCTTTGCTCTTGCAAGGCAGGCTGCGGAACCCCTAAGCTAAATCCCTGGCCCACCTTTTACTTTTTGACTTAATATGAATCTATGGCAATCAGTATGTAATTAGGGCCTATTTTTTCCCATTCATCCAATTAATGTTTTGTGTATTTATACTTGAAGTAAGACAAAGGACTTAGCATTGTATCTTTTCTGTTTTCTGTATGTTTTGTAGATTTTCGAAGTGCCTGCCTATTTCACTGATTTTTTTTGTAGTAACATTCTTTGATTTTGTGTATATTTTGCAGATATTTTCTTTGTGTTTACTAAATCACATGCAGTAGTGAAATATCTGAAATGTAGCAACATTCTACTTGATTACAAATAGTTCAATTTCAACTGTTGGAAATATCCAAAAGTTTACAGTATTGTTTTAAATTAATACAGTAACTTTGGTTGGTTAAAAAAGCTTTTTCTAGGCTGGGCAGTGTACCTTAGTGGAGAGTGCTTGTCTAGTATATAGAGAGGCCCAGGTGGGTTCAATCCCCAATAAAAAGGAAACTCTTCTTTTTTTTTAATC